CGTGCCGTGCTGGGCCGGCCCGTCTCGTTTGACACCTCTAGCTCGGATCTCATTTTGGGTATCTTAGAGTCCCGAATGGATATCGCATATCGCGTATTTTTCGGATTCGCTAGGTTTGGACCGTTGGATGGTCCTGAAGTTATAATATGTAGATCTAGGTATTACCAGGATCGTGTAGGATTCGACGGATCGTAAAACGGAGTCCCGGGTACTCCGGAAATGCCAACCCTAGGGTTAGGGTTTTAATAACCGTCCGATCCTGCGATCGTGAGCGATCCGACTGTCCGATCTGGACCAAACTTGCAGAACATGTGTCCTAGAGCCTGTAGAACCTATGGTGAAGCCCAACACCGTCTTTGCAATAGGAGAAGCAACAAGTAGACAACTACAAATCAGGGACGAAACAAAACAACAAACTTCCAAACCAACAAAACAAACAAGAAGCCCAAATCCAGTGGTGGAGGATTCCCCCTCCCCCATGATACTCTGGATCGAACTAGTGCAGTTTCTTTCCTCCAATGTAAGCAGAAAACAAAAAACAAAAACAAAAAACAAAAATTAGTGCGGGAGTCCCATTATAACTCCAATACCCTTTCTTTTTGTACTCAGATAAGTAGTAACGCAACTACACAATTGGGTTTGTTAAATATTCTAATATCAAAACTGAACTAAGAGCGCAATTACTTATAACTCAAGCTTTTAACTCAACAATTAATATTGTAAGCTGTGTATCCTTCTCGTATGAGTAATAAATGATATTGTAGGGAGAGAGGGTTTAAGATATTTGTAGAGAAGATATTTCATCTCATGTCTCTCTATCCCTAGTTACATTGAATGTTCTGTTTCTGATCACCTTAATGCTGGTCAGAGGTTAGGTGGTGAAGTGACAAGCGACCATGGATGGGAGACGTAATAAATGATCTCTTCCCATCACTTGTCTGTTCACTCCGAGATTTAACGGACATGGCGACATCTGTTTAGAGGATGGGCACGCGCATTTAACCAGCCTTCGTACTTAACCAGGCCTTTGATGCTTCTATGGTGATACAATTGGTCGGGTTGGACAGAGGATATCCGACCACTATTCTCATTTTGATCTGTCACATTTTCTCGAGGGGTCCTTTGTTGGTTGCATCCGATCGGCTTAGTATACAAGTCGTCTTTCGAGGGGCTTGGTTCACAATGATAGTATGAGCTATCAACAAATATTATGTGTTCAATTTCCTCGGCATCATCAGTAAGCTTAAGAAAGGAAAAAATAAAATAAAAAAACAGGACACAATCACTTTGGTGAGAAGAAAGAGAAGGCATCCCAGCAAGGAAGTTTCAGTGGGGTGACGCGGTTTTCCACCTCTACAGCGCCCTCTGGTAGGAAAATAAAAAGGTAAAGCAAAATGACACATCCCAAAACGTGGAAGCTTTCCTTGAAATTTCCTTTTACTTTTTTGGTGGAAAACATTAGTCCTTTCACTTTGCAAAACACTTTCATGTTTTTCCTTTCCTTTTTTTGTTTTTTTTTTTCACCTTGACCCTTATCCTGAGTATTGGATGTGTTGAGCTCTTTATTGGGGATTTCTTCTTCGGTTTCTTGGCTTGACTTTTGAGTCTCTTTCCTATGGAAGTTGTTTTGGCATCACACGTAATGTAAATTTCCTTTTTCCTCTTGAGAGTTTATTGTGCTATGATGTTCATATCCATTCAACAATTGCAGTGTACTAATAGCCATCCTCTTGAGAGTTTTTTTCTTTCTTACATGATATCATAAAGTTCCCAACTTTGTGGATTTTTAGTCACATCTGAAGCAGTGCCCTTTTTTTTTCCTTCCTTTAAATTTATTTTTTGGGGTCACATATGAATCTTCCGAATATGATAAGTTTAATCATTGCAGGTCATTCATGAAGGTCATCAGAAAGCAATAAAAAGATAAAACTTTAAGAAAAAAATAATAAAATAAAATAAAAAACTATTACTTGGTAGGTATATGTATAAAAAAACCACCAACAAAAGAAGAAAACAGCTTATATGAAAAATAAAATAAAATGAAATAAAACTAGTGAATTATCACTTCTGGAAACAGAGAAGGAACTTGTTTGGGCCATATCGGGGACACAATTAAAGTGGACTGCTTCAAGATGTCATGTAAATATCTTCCTCTCTGGAAAAATAAAACCAAAGTTGGGAACTTGCTTGGACCAGATCACTTTTGCCTTGAAATTTCATTTCACTTTGTTGGTCTTGGTCATCACTTTGGCAGTATATTTCACGTTTTTCCTTCCTTTCTTTTTTTTTCCTTGTGTTGACGCTCAAAAATGGTTCGGCACTTTTGAGGCCAACTTAGTGATGATGTGTGATTGATGATGAGTGAAGGTCCTCACCTTCACCAAGCGTGTGAGGATTTGAGCAAGCGATAAATATACAAAAGATAAGATATACGTGGTTCACCCTTAATGAATGGGCTACGTCCACGGAGAAGTATATTCTCATTATTATAATATTGTGTATTTATATTTGTACATGGGGTTGAGCCCAAACTTAAATGTAAGAAAGGAG